CGCGAGGCGCGAGTCACGCGCAAGGGAAGGGGCAGCCAAATATCCGACTCCCTCTCTCCCCAGGCGATAAGTAATGATTGTTCGCTGTGATTACATAAAAAAAAAAAACATCAAGAAAAAAAACACCACATTAAGAGAAGTCATTCGTGCTGTGTTTGTTCTCTTGATTGCTTTCAATGTAAAAAAAATCGTGCAATTGAAGGTATCACACGAAGCCACAATAATACGTTCCACCCTCACTTAGTCATTCAGGCGAAAACAGTCCACTAAATTGATTTCAAATACTAAGAGACCCATGAATGTTGTGGCGACAAAACAGGGATATTCTAAGCCCGAGGGAGTCTAACTGTCAATGACTAAGAACACTGGCGAGTATCTTAGTCAATCTTTCCCCCTTCATTAAGATCCCCATGAAACGAAAGACAATTGACACTAGCAAAATAATCACACAAAGAAATTTTCCCCCCAGAATGGCCATGATTTTGTTTAGGTTTGATGCCATACGAACATGAACTTAATTGCGTGATTGAGCCTAATTTTTGGCTCTAGTCTTTGACATGTGAGGACTCGGAAGTGGGTTATTTATGCATAATGACAGCAGGCCTGCAGCAGGCAGGAGTTCAATAAGGTTCGGAGATCGTTACAGGAAGGGTAATCGATGTTAATCTAAGGCTTCTTGTTAATTTAAAGACAGCGGAAAAAGCGAATCGGTAACCGATCGATAGGCAGAAGGAACATTTTTGTCAGTATGATCTTCTGGTACTGATTGTCACCAATACCTCGCCGATAAATGTGGGATATCTCCTTATATGTGCGATGAAAAGTTAATGGGCTAGCCTTAAAAGTTTTAACATCATTTTTTAAAACGGCACTTATCGAGCAATATTCCCCTTCGTTGCATTTGATAGCAGAGTGAAATAATTCGCACAATTTTGGATCAGACGAGTACTACTTAGGACAGCAGATCGCTCGCTCAATTCAAACTTCTAAAATTTGTAGATCATACAGTTACAATAATTACAGCAGAGCGGAGGTCGAAAATAGTCACATGTCCTCACAGGAAATTTTCATCAGTGTTTTCTTCACTACCCCCAACTTAAATTACGTATAATGAAACGCGATCACCCTTTTACAAGTATTTTTTTCTTAATTCTGTGATAATTATCTCCCACATACACTTTGTGTTATTCAGAGTTGACCTCCGCGTAGGCGTTGCGTGGGCCTTACGGAGTTTCCGTTTAGATTCAAGTTTCAGTTCAGTTTCAAGTTACAAGTTTCAGTTCACTTCCACGTTTAAGTTTATTGATTTTGTCACATATTTACATGCACCTAAAAACGTATGAAGTTAATGATACACCCACGAGGCAAGGTAGCTGGAAGGAGTCAATAAAGTAAGGTAACGGACTCCCAAGCAAATCAATAGGTAATATGGATTTCGAAATTAGCTCATTTTTTCTGTTTTGCCTCTCTGAATACCGACTCAGTACATAGAGTTCCATGCGCCTGTTTTTTGCTGTTTTTTGCATAGGCACCTGAAATGTTGAATCTGGTCCAGCTACGCAAAGAGATTTAGAAAATATGAGGAATCTCATTTGTTTCCTTTTTGTTTGTTTGTTTGTTTTTTTGCAAAATAAGCTCATTTGTTCCTATTTTGCCTCTCTGAAAACCGACTTTCTACATAGAGTTCCATGCGCCTGTTTTGCATATCTGCCATGATTGTTTTTTGCATAGGCACCTGAAATGTTGATTCCGGTCCAGTTGCATTTACGCAAAGAGAGTTTTAAAAAATTTGAGGAAAATATTTGTTTCCTTATTTTTTGTTTGTTTTTTTTTCCCCAAATATTTTATTCGTGTTGTTTCTCGTATGTCCACCTATCCTCTTAGCAATTCAGTTACACCAGAGCTGACCACCAAAATTGAACTCACGCAGCGTTACGAGTTCAACCGACAGTCCTAAGAATATTTGCAGGTACAAGCTAATTTTTCCAAGTATTTATTTCAAATCCAGCGTAATATACTTTTCCCTCTCACCCCACTTTATTCGGTCCACAAATGTTAAAATTATCATAGTAACCTACTAAATAGATAGACATGATACTCAAAAATAGAAAAGGAAATATTTTGGGTGACAGGATGTTTAAAGAAAGTTGATAAAGACTTACACCAGATGAAAGAAGCGACGCGACGTTTTAATTACGACGCCACATAACAGCCAGCTGCTGCTAACTGGTTATCAAATTTTAGTGACTATGAACACCTGAATTCTCCCTATCCAGTTCTTATAGGGTTTGAACAGCAGTTAATAGGAATATGAATCATAATCAACTGGCGTAAGCTGATTAAGATTGGTTAGTATATTTCTAACTTCTTTCAGTTAAAAACGTCCTGGTAGAAAATATTAAAAAGTTGATAAACTGTTGTCGCTTTTCGTTTTTTCATCCATCACAAGGTAAGCACAGAGTGAACAAAAGTAGGGATAAAGTTAATCCGACAAAGTTACAACACAACGCACCTAACACAAAGTTGCTCAGAGAACCCACCTTAAGTTTATATTTAAATGGTTGTTGACGAATGAAATATAATGCTGTATTTTTTTTTAGTTTCATTGCATGCGTTATATTTTATGATAGGAACTACCCAGAAAAATGTCAAGAATACACTTCCGATCAGAGTTCTTAAATATACTTATTATCATACAAAATGTTCACAATATGATCTCAAACGCTCGACAAACGCGGAAGGAAGATTATGCATGCAAAGGATTGACACAGCTGAGCCCCTCTTTTTCATCGCATGCTTAGTTTCTTTCTTTTTTTGTGTGGAAAGGCATCTTTCTTCAATTTACTAATAGTTCTTAACTCACCATTTTTTCCTTCCAAAACCACTATGAAATATGCCACATCATTCGATAGTCTTTATTATTATGATTATGATAGTCTTTATTAATTGAAGGCCGGCATCATCATAATGGAGCTGCATAAACGAATTCTCTCGTTTTAAATCAGCTGGTGACTTGCTAGGAACTTAGGCTACAAAATGTCTAATAGTCAATTAAAGATTAATAATCGAATGCGATTTCCAAGAAAGACATAAATACTGAAATAACTAACGAGTAGCGATCCAGGCTGAAGAAGTTGAACCGTCCATAATGTACGATATTGGTGGAAATGTAAGTCAATATTTTAGGTTTTTTTTTTTTTTTTTTTTTTCATCAGAATCCTTATGTAACCAAAGACGGGTAATGTTAACAAAATGCAAAATGAATTTTTTGTTTTGTGATCAACTGTCACCAGTTTCACCGTCTAAAATGTATTTAAGAAGGTAACCACACCAAGCAGGAAAATGTTCGCAGCTTATTTCAAGTGCCATGTAGTACCAGAACCATGTGTTTCGATTGCGAAAACTTTAGAACAATTTTTCTTTACGACGTCTCAGTCTTTTCATTTTCATAACATTTCTATGTTCACTAACAATTTATTCCAAATCATAAATTTCATCAAAACATGCAGAATACACGGCCACCGACACATATGAATGTTAAGCTCTCTAAAATCAACTGATAAAAACGTCAATAATCAAACGCGAAGACGTTCGAGACACGCTGTCAGCACATGGCACCCTCAAAAGGTTCACGACGCGCTGCGTTGACATGAGAGCAGATTCAGATGCCGTGAAGAGAGCGGAGTGCGAGTTCAATGTCGGGTAACTTCTGTTTTTCAAGAGCATGATCTATAATTATCATTAATGGATTTAAAATAAAAGTTTCATAATTTCATGATCGTGAGTTTACCTTCGAACTACTAGTTTGACGACGAGCTCTGTGTCAAACAGACAAAGACACTTTGAACAACCCATACATATATACTCGATTGATGTGTAATGCTCTTAGGACACAAAGCGGCCACACTGTCTTGAAAAAATAACTTTTGACCGCATTTTAATGACAATAGTAACATCACCTGTCAAAACGGTATTCAAACACTTAGGTAGGCGATGATGCTTAAAGTTGATTATTCATGAACTCGTAAAGCACAACCCACCCCGGATAGCGAAACTAAAGGCAATTTTCCTATGAGAAAGAATTTTGTGCCGTTCTAGAGGATCTTGGCAAGATCGGAGTCGACTGCTTTAGATGGAGAAGTGTAAATGTTTGAATGAAAAAATAAAGTTGCTAAAGTTCTAGGAGGTTTATTTTATTTTTCCCTTTTAACATGTTAAAAGCTTAAAATACCGTTGACATCATGGTTTTACTCCCACAAGACCAAAACGAGAAATTCCCATTAAAACTTTAGGGCTGCACATCCTTTCCACCTGTGTAACTCGAATTTGTGCACCTTTGTTTGCTCATATATGAGCTGGTGTTGTTTATTTAAATTTAAGTTCAATTTACCGTAAACAGTTTGTTCCTCCTTAATTTTATTGCAAAAAAGATATAAATTGAGTAGCTCACATAAAAGTTCACATAATCGATCCAGCCAAGAGGGTAATCAAGGAGTCTGACGATATTTTCAAGAACATCGTTATCGACAAGAAGCGGAAATGTTTAAAACCACCAGCAAGGTATTAATCGGTTAATTTCCGAAGGAAGAGGGTACATTGACGAATAATTTTTTAAGTATTAGGTAACTCTTTAATCTAAATCATTGAGTCTAATCAGAAACAAAATGTTTCGGCTCAATTGCTCGGATGATCAGAGCAAATGCTCTGTTTCGTTCATTGATTGCGTCTACCAAGGCACTAACGGAAGCTAATTATCTGTAAACGTCTCTGAGACGCGAACGGCGACCGGAAAAGCTTACTTCTAGCGGGCCTTTGTCGTTAACCAACCAAAAGGCGAGCGACGAGCTGTTGTCTTTGCATCAGTTTCAATCTAAGCGATAACGACGATAGATCGATTTCAAGCGCCGACACAATTAAGACAACCACTATGGATCTTTGAAACCTCATTTTCAAACAAATTCCTTCGTATTCTCTTCATTATTACATGTAATTATGTCTTTATGTTTTCACAGTTTTTTCCTTTCAAAGTAATACTTGTATTACTGCTCGCGACTTCAACCTCACACAGTACGCAACATTTGGGGCGAGGTAAAGCTGCTGAGCCAGAACGTTTAACATGGGATAAGAATGAAGATTACATTTCTTATGTGTTCACCGATGGGACCAAGAATGCCGAGGAACACGTTGAACCTCTGGACTTGCCACAGTGGGATCCCACATGCCCACCAAGTTGTAAATCGCTAACAACGATCATGAATTGCGTCTCGACCGTAGAAGAAAAAAGTTCAATATGTAATGTTGGGGGTAGGTGTAAGTGTAGGACCTCTATATTTTTGGAAAGGGATTGCTTGGAATGTGTGAGCCGGTAGTTTTAAAGAAGAACGCTCGGCTTAACTCCTCAGTCTCATGCAATGTGTTTGCCATGAACATACTACGATTGAGAACATTTCAATAAAGACGAAAAAAATGAATGGCTCTGGATGAAATATTAAACGGCAGTTTCCACCGAAGGCCCGTAAGGTGTTTTCTCTTCATCTTAACTATGCCTTTCATATTCTGCGTTATCAGAAACACACTTCCTCCTCCAATGTGAGCTGAAAGCCACGAAAAATTACACAAACTCTATTTCAATTTGGCAGAGATAACACGAGCCCTGTGTGCAAACTCGTGAATTGACAGATGATTTACATGATTTTTGGATTATGTTTAATGTTATCTGGTTTAGGAAATTTTGTGGTTGATTGTCGTATTTTGAGTACGAGCAGTAGTTCAGTGTTCGCTTATGTAGCAAAGAAACAAAGTAACATTGGGATAAGAAGGCATTGCAATTGAAATGATCATGCTATTACATTTGACAAGGGTGGATGATGTCATGTGTTTTAAACATATATCATTTTTGTTTCTGGTTCAAAAGAAAAGGTTGGAAGTAAATGTGGGTGAAAAGTGAAAACTACTGTCTAATGAAAACATTAATGATTCCCTCTTTATCAAATGAGACAAACGGAAACGAGTTTTGAGTGATATAACGAAGTCCAGACTGGCACCGTCATTTTGGATTTCCACCTGGGTAGATTTTGGTCACGTGCTAGGCAACGTATAATCGAGAACAAGATAGAATTTCATTTCAGGCCTATTTATCAATTTTGTGGTGTACAACTTTCGCATTTTAGTACGTAATATTTATTTTGAATCTTCAAATTGTCTTAAAACCTAAAAGAAAATTGTTCTTTAAAAATTCACTGAAAATCGGTAGCCAAAATTATTTGTTTAGGTGTTATGTGATTTTCGTGTTAACTTGTAGTTTCGTCAATCGCCGGCACCTTTTGTTGCTTCACACAGAAGAAAACACACGATACGAAGTGTAGTGATCGATTTTTTCCCCAATCTCACGTCATAACAGAAAAAGCTTTTGAACACCTGTAAACTCTGAGCGCTTTGGAGTAAGTGATAATTTTAGTGAATTTTCGGCTTGTTTTCAAGTTCAAGGATTGTAAATTACAATTTTATGAAAAACGAAGGTTGTTCTCTAATTTTATTGTGAATCCTCGCACGCCTGCCAGTCGCTGGCGCCGCTTGTTGAAACTAAAACGAATAAATATAAACTCTTTTAAGATTATCATTGGCTTCTTTTTCACCCCACCGCTATTCTTAGCAACAAAGGTCGCCATTTCGTTTGTTTATTGTTACACGACGTACCCTTTCAGATGCAAATAACAACCGCTGACCAACCGCTGACCAAGTCGTTTCCTTTGTTTTCCCATTAATTTTGTTTTGCCGTGAGTAAAGTTTGTAGTGCCGTGACAGTTGTGGGCCACCGCACCCTTTGTTGCTTCACACAGAAAAAACACGATACGAAATGTAATGATCGATTTTGTCCCCAATCTCACGCCATAACAGAAAACGCTTTTGAACACCTGTAAACTCCGAGCGCTTCGGAGTAAGTGATATTTCTAATGAATCTTCGCTGGCGCCGCTTGTTGAAACTAAAACGAAAAATAAATAAACTCTTTCAAGATTATCATTGGCTTCTTTTTCTTTTTTTCTTTTTCACCCCACCACTATTCCTAGCAACAAAGGTCGCCATTTCGTTTGTGTATTACCTGCCAAAAACTATCAAATGCACTTAAAAGCCTAAAATCGAAAAGAAGTTTCCAGGAATCGACCAGTCGAGCGAGCGAGCGAGCGAGCGAGTGCCATTCTCCACATCATATCTACCACTCGCTCTTGCGCACGCACGCAATTCACGAGTTATTAATCATGGCACCGAACAGGTCAATAGGAAATGTTTGCTAATATTGAGAAAAAAGTATTGACTTTATGACAGGAATCAAAACACCAATTTTCTCATTTTGATCATCATCGATGGCTGCCCAGTTAAACAGACACGTTATTATTAACTTCTTCAAGAAGTTCTTGTACGTAACAAAAAATTATGCAATCCGTTCTCGCATTCGAAAAGACAAAATGGCTGGAATTTACAAAGGTAAAATAGGCTGCTCCGAAAATATCTAGCGGCCCCAAACGAGATCAGACACATCAGGTATACAAGTACATGTGCCAAAACTGCAAATGATGGCAATTCAGTGCCAATAACAAATTGAAAGAGAAATTTCGAGAATCGTGCTGACGCTATTGTCAAAAACGAATTCTCTCTGCCGCAACTGATGTCGCTTAAAAGATACAGTATGACGTAGACATATGAAAATCTTCCTTTCCGCCCGGAATTGTATGAAATGAATATTTTGGACAAGTGGAAAATCAACCCGTCCGCCTACGGAAAGAAGCACTAATATAATTTATATTAATTAATAACTATGAGTTTTTCGGTTACGCACAATTCAATTGTAGATTCAGTACGATTCCATGAGGCCGTCCACAAAAATTGTTTCGAAATGAAAAAATGCATTCGTTTTTCCTCTTTTTCCACCAATGAAGAGTTCACTTTAGAACTACCGTTTTATGTCAAAAACAAACAAATAACCAAAATTGTTTACCTCTTTATTTTAAAAATATGTTGACTGCTAACAGACCCTAAAGTTTTAGTACTTACTCTAGATACAGTGACTAAGGTAATTCTACTATACCACACTTCCAAGAACCTCCTTTCTATGCATACGACAGACGAACTCCGAACAAATAACACATAGAGATCATCCCATCGATGAAGATTCCTAACAAATAGCTGCGTGTTTTTAAACAGCATATCACTAGGAATTCCTTTGGTGATATTAGCTTCCGAACTTCATTCAAATTATTCAGGTCGAGGGTTGGTGGACCTCAAGCATTTAACTAGTTTTCTCTCCCAGGTTTCTTTATCAGTGGACTTTGAAAAGTCTATATAACTCCTTTTTTGGAGTTCTCTAGGAAGTTTCTTCCTGTTGACTTCATCAAGTTTGACAACAACCAAGCTATCATCTTTCTTTTCCATAAGTCGGTGAAGAGCGTAATCCAGTTCTGACCCACAGTAATTACTATTGAAAAAGTGAGTGGATACAACGGCCACTGTCTTCTTACTCTTGTAAACGCTGTCAACCATGTTTTGACGAAAAGGAATTCCAAGAGGGAAATCTCTATAATGCACACAACATTTTAGCCCATGCTTTTCCTCAAGAGTTGGAATAAGAGTTTTAACCACCCACTCTGAATCTTGGGAGCTATATATGACAAACGCGTCGTAGTCAAATTGCATATCTGAAAATTAAACAAGCAAGTATGTGTTACAGACAAAAAGACATTTCTTTTCTTTTTTTTGACCCAGTAGGAAGTGAAAAATGCCTCTTGACAATAGTATGATTGCTTATGATGTTAATACGAACCAAAAGCTCTGAACTGAGTTATTAAGATCGCTGAGTTTGTATAAAATGAATAGGCTTATTCTGTCAGGTTTGTAAATTTAGCAGCTTCGAACTGGTTGTGATGGAGAACGGTCCTTTAAAATGTAACGTCTTATCTACTAGCGGAAGGTGAATGTCCATATCTTTTAACGACTTGAACCTGGAAACCTTCTTTCTAAAATGTCTTTTAGGTTACACAGTTTAGTATTCCAATTCCACAGACCAATGCGGACGCGAAAATAGACCGCTCAAATGGAATAGATTGCTTTAATTTCGTGTTGCACATAAGGTAAACTAAAAAGCGGAAATCTGTTCAAAGTTTTCCAACTGTGTTTCCACTACTGCCTTCGTATTAGTGTTCCGTACACATTTTTGCGACTCCAAAAATGTGCTTATTAAAAGACAGTATTCCTGGTGAGAACACCAACCTTTATAAGAGCCCAATTGTCCTGGGCACGCCTTCTTTTGTAGTCGATAGCAGAAAATTAGCAGAGCAGACACAGCACAAATAATTACAGTGACAGGGATAATGGCAAGGGCAATAATAGTAGGTCTCCTACTTTCTGAAAGAGATTTTAAAATAATAGATTAACTAGCACATTCCCTGCAAACATAAACAAAAACCAAAATAGAAAACATACAGCACAAGCAAAATCAAGAGAAATGAATCTGACAACATTCTTAAAAGCCCTGCATTGCAGGGCAAGGAGATTGACTGTTTACATTCTTTCTTTGAATAAACCGCCAGACTTCGTACCAGTACTTGCTTGAGAGTAAGTTGTAACGTAACTTGAGAGTTATTAACTTGGGAGTTATTAACTTGGGAGTTATTAACTTAATAGTTATTGACAAGATGTGTACTCTAAACTTAGGCTGGTCGTATTTAGAAGCTAGATATGGATATGACCAACTTTGGAACTATGAGAAGGAAAAGTTAAACCCACCTGATGTTGGACTCGTGGGGTGAGCTACATGAAAATAGGAGGGAAAATAAAAGACGACACTGTGTTAGAAGCTATTTTTTTCTTATCAGTCTCGGAGCTATCCTTATCATACTTTCCTCATATTACACGCTAAAAAAGACTATTGATCTGTTAGAAGGGTTGAAAAACTTTTGCAAGTGAGATGTGGCCTAAAGGGTAGTTGAGCAAGCGCATTTGAAAGTTCCAGATTGGTCATTGGTTTGAAATGAACTTCTGATGTTTTTGTCACGTTTGAATTAAATAAGTGGGTTGCGAAAAGATAGTACCAGTCTCTGAATCGTTTTAGAGTGATAAGAATGATAGATTGAACCGCGTGGTTGTGAGGGTGAAATATGAGAGTGAATGGAATGCGGTCAGTGTTTTCCTTCTCAGCCGTTTGTAGTGCTGATTGTCTATCAATTTGTTGGGCATGGTGGTGGCCCGCTTGAACGACACAAACAGGATAGCCACGATGCAAAACTTGTTCTTTCATTCATAACGTAGAAAAAATATCGGGACCCAAGAGATCCATTATGATTACTGATCACTTTACGTGCACCCTTGCCAATGTCATTTACTGCGTAACTTGTACTTATTGCAATAAGTTATACATTGGCGAAACAGGAAGACGACTAGGTGACCGATTCCGAGAACATCTTAGCGACGTGGAAAGAAATGACAAGGACGCATCCAAACCAGTCGCTAGACACTTTAATCTCCCTAATCATTCAAAACAACATATGGCAGTTCGCAGCCTTCCCTTACATCTGGGCAGTTCGGAAAGCCGCAAAACACTAGAACAAAAATTTATCTTCCAAATCGGCACTCTCAATCCCCACGGTATCAACGAGCGCTTTTCATTCAACTAATTTATTCATGTTTTCTCGTCACCATACTCCCACCAATAGCGTAGCTCCACTTTCTGCATATAAACCCACACACAACCCACAATTCCTCCAATCGATCTGACGAAGGGCTAACGCTCGAAAAGGTAGCTTTTTTACTCTTCACGGTGGCCAATTTACGTTTTCAACTCAGTTGTTAAAACTAAATTACCTGCTATCATTCTGTCATGTTCATTTGAATAACCCATCTTAGCCTCGCTTATGACTAAAAGTTCTTTTTCTTTCAATTTGTTTGTTTGCTACCTTTGACATATTACCGAGACCAAGAGGGCTAGTTTGCATGTATGGGAAAGAACAATGAGGCCTTCTATTTATAGAAGAGATCAACTAGGGAACGTCCAGTGAGAAAGAGAATTAAATTTCCTTTACTTGTTTTAGGGATTGATGTGCCACTTGTTGTTGGCTTTTCACCGCATGGAATATGGCCTGCACAAGAAAAAAAAAACGAACAACAGAAAAAAAATCTTACGAGATGAGAAACTCTCGGGCTTCCCAAGGGGCACAGTCGGTGGTTACACCTTATTATCTAGCATTGAGGTTAGACACATTTTATAGCAAATGTCTCATTCTACTTTAGTTAAAAAATTGAGGAATTCAGAATGACGTGAGATTTTAATTCGGTTGACAAATGCATGGTTGGCGAAACGTGCTTTTAACGAGGACTGCGACTGTACTAATAACAGTACTAGAGCATCGTAGTTACCTTCATTTACGCAAAATACATGAATCAATTTTTGAATGTTCAATCACAGTAGTGTTTGTTATGCTGAGAGGATGACTACAACAAGTGATTCGTTTAAGACCTCAATCCCGTTAAGGACCTGCCAAGCTATTTTCACTTTCTCAAATTTATAAGGACATTTTTCCGCATTACGAAGAACCGTTCACACCTAATTTTACATCCGCAGGAGGAAAGTAAAGGTGATATTGACGCCACGTATGGCGTGGCATGCTATTGAATTTAGGAATAAGACTACGTGAATATCCAAACTCAGTTTGAATTGTACAAACTTTTCAACAAAATTGAGAAAAAGAAACGAGCCTGTGTATTTAAAAATTAGTGGAAGAGGTAACACTGGTAATTTAGCCCCACTTACAAACTCATGTAGCCGCCACTAATTCTTTTGCCCCGCGGCTCGTGAAGGTCTTTATAGACCTCCGGCTAAAACAATCGATTTTGGAAAATGTGATTGAAAATATAGAGCTTCGAATTGCTCGTTCTGACTTAAATTCAGCTACTCACCCGAGACTGCTCACTAGCATCAAATCATGATCACACACTGGCCACCGCAGCCTCCAGTCTTAAGCTTACGGCAGAAATTAACAAACTAAATAATAAACACAATACAAAGTATAGTATGGCTTTTTAAGATTCACCTGAAACTTTTAAAGAGACTTACAATCAATATATGGTGCCGTGTTCCCGAACTTACTGTAGTCAAAGGGTATGGAGACAACCTACCAAAAGAAAAAAAAAACAACTCAAAACGAAAAGAAAAAAAACATTTTGTGTAATAATTTAAGCAGTTATTTTTGAAGAACTTTTATTTTTTACATCGGTTATAACTTCTAACATTGCCCTCAATGTAAAGGAGTCACCAATGAAACCGTGCATGTACTGCAAATTTCACGTTACTTCAAAGCACGTCTCATCACTTCTACGTGGTGATGTCAATAAATACGCAGAAAAAAGAACCGTGACAGCACTTTATGCCTTAAGACAGGTTTAGGGTATTCAGAGTTCCAAGAGATTCTTTGATCAGCTGACCACCATCTATATTTCCAGTTTTTTTTTCTTGCGATATCATTCCCGTTAGTGCTTTTCCTAAAGTAAGATTACATTGATACATGGGTAAAATTTAGGAGGCCTGGTCTTATTTAAGGAATATCACGCATGTAGTGCGCCATGAATACGTTTTTGTGCTCAGGGCATGCATTGTATCCTTGATACAAAACTGTATCAAGGATTATGCGTAAGGACGCTCCCCGTTCACACTTTAACAGGTTTAAATATCAGTTTTTGTGCCTCAAGGTTTTTCGAGGTAAGTCAATAGTGTTGTCGTAATTCCCCCTCCCTTCGCCAAAGATCAAACAAAGATCATGAATTTGGATACACTTACCATGAGTCGTAAGCGCGTGTTATTCGGTAGACCACTGTTTATAAAATAACTCGTCTCGTTCTGAAATAAAAATATGTATACAGTTAATCGATTTCTATACGGTAAAAATGTAGCATTAATTTAAACTTAGTGTCTAGAGCCGGAGAGTTTAAAGAGTGAGGAGAGATGAGATTGTAAATCATATCTACTGACGGCACTTAAAGCCAGCGCTCCGAGCTGCGACCGTACTGGAAACTATGGTAGGTTAAATGAAAAAATGGGCGATTAAATTTCAGAGGAAGTCGCAAAACTGGCGACCCGTGTTTTGTTTTCTGATGTTGTTATTTCTGGTAACCATTTAATGATTTTCAGTTGCCAAATGACACCTTGGAAAAACGTTGATCTGGGAGTACTGTTAAGGGGGTAAATTTATGGTAAAGTGACTGAGATTGAACAAATTAATACCTGTTGAGAATATAAAAAGGAGGGGAGATCAAAGCCGATTGTAAAGTTTTCTGGTTTTTAGCAGCTCTCACCTTATAGAAGTCCACGCATTTAAATATCTCTTGAGATACCCGACCAACGACGTAAATCAATCTGTATCCAGTCCAATTAAAAGCGTCACCTAAAAAAAACAAACAAACAAACAAACAAACAAACACTTTACTATTCCACTATTATTAGTATAATCATTATCATTATTATAGTAACTATTATAATTTTTCGATTTCGACTCCCATTTATTCTGAGGGCCTAAAGTTCATCAATTTATTACTGTCACTACTAGTACTACTGCTTCAAATTTAAAAAAATTGTTCATATCCTTTCCTTAACGTATGTGCGGTTGGCTCTCTCTACTGTATGGATTGCTTATGAGTTTAGGTGACGTGCTATCCACTCCTCGTGTAACTTTATAATGTACACATGATCACAGCAAAAATTTTTTAATATAAATCAAGAATGTGCCAAAAAAATGCAAGAGAAATAAAATTAAGTAATATTTTGGGTTGATAGTTGCCATACTTTTGTTACTCTACATACTTGACAGAGGTTTCCATGATACATTTCCCAGAAAACTTCCATTGTCCTTAGGTTCTCGGAATGTAATCTTGGGCTCAAGAAACGTAAAGTTTCCTGGACTGTCCATTAAGCAGGCTTTGTTTGTAAATAAAAGTTAGGTAATATAATCATGAGTATTTCAATAAAATACGAAGGTATTAAGTACATGATTGAGGTTCTAGGAGTTCCTGATACAATCACGCTGTAACATCAACTTGCACAAACAGACACTGGTACTTGTGGCGATCCAAACGAACCAGAAATGAGAAATATCACCTCTCACAATTTTCGTAAGGAAAATGGATAAAATCCTATCAAATTTCAAAGTAAACCTATAAATTCACACATGAGGGCAATGATATAGCTTAAAAGTTATTCATTTTGTTCTTTGCATCTTTATATCACTATTTTTCCAAACCATCAATAAAACATGATGGGACGTTAGTACACCAAGAAATGACTAATTCATTATTGATCTCCCACAAACCTACCATACCATTAAACAGTGCCCAACATGGCAGCTTTTGACCAATTTTGCCGGCTGAAAGTTCGGTATAACTGATAACTTTGGGGTGCTAAATTACGAAGTGGTTGTGACGATACTTGATTCACATATTTTCCACTCATAGAAAACTGAAGCTAAATTCAGTGTTATCAGAAAAAAGGTATATCTTACTCTTACCGTCCTTGCTACTTTTCTCGCTCCCTGGGATTTCTAGTTGAGAATATGGGAAAACATAGAAAAAAAATGTCACTTTGGTTATCGAGCACTTCGCTGAAATACAAAAATGTATGGACTGTGTGGACTGAAGACGTAGACACAGATCAACACGGCTCTCGAAATGTATTCCATAACCTTTACATCTACAATTATATAGCCACTTCACCGGTTAAACCCTTTTTCTGGAAACGATATGTCGATGATGTTATTTCTGCGGTATCCGGAAATAAAGCGGAGCGCCTCTTGTCGCATTTGAATTCAGTAGAGCTGTCGATCCAATTCACCCTTAAGCGTGAAAAGGATAGACATTTGCCCTTTCTTGATTTAAATGTGTCCAGAGGGGTTCAGGGTAATTTAGAGACAAGATTCTCACCACCCTATTTGCCATAAAAAGTCTGTAGCCAAAACTTTACTTAGGAGGGCTGACTGTCTATCATCTTCACTCGATTCGAAGGCTGAGGAGAGGAAATATGTTTCCAATGTCCTAAAGGCAAATGGCTATACAAAAACTTTTCTCCGTAACTACCAAAAACCAGTTACAAATAGTAACGCTCTTGTTGAAAGGGAACCAGTGACTGGTTTTGCTGTTACTACTTACATACAGGGTGTTACTGAACCATTAAGAGAATTTTGAATAGCCACAACGTTAAAGTTGCTCAAAAACCTTTTCAGACTTTGGGGCATATTTTCGCCAAACCTAAGGATCCTGAACGAAGAAAGGACAACGAACCGACGCCATTTATTCTATTCCTTGCAATGACTGTGACAACGAATACATCGGACAGACCAAACGTCAGTTTGATACACGGTTAAAAGAGCACCAAAAAGCGGTTTTCTTCGCAAAAAGGAAAATTCAGCTTTATCGGAGCATACATGCCGAACCAACCATACAATTGGGCGGGATAATTCTAAAATTATCACCACTAATCGGCGTTACCACCAGCGCCTTTGTTTGGAGGCTTGGCATATTAACTCCGCCCACGCTCCTTTAAATCGTGACGATGGCGGTTTGCTTCCTGACGCTTCCTTACACCTCGTCAGAAAAAAGGCCGTTAATTAGTGATCATATAAAACGACCTCTTGTTGCAGCGTTTAGATCACCCCTGATGAAGGCACTAGGCAGGAGTGTCGAAACGTTGGGTCTATGAATTGTAACTTCTTCGGTTACATTCATTAAATCTGCAAACCAGAGTAGCATCAAACTTAAGATATCAGAAAACTGAAGATTTTAAGAGTGGTGCTCTACCTTCTGTCGAACTATTGTTTTCCGAACCGACTTGATTATAGAGAGAAATAAATAAGAAGCCATCTTTGGCCAATTCATGATACTTGAGTTGTCTTGTTTGTTGGTAGAAAAGCTTACCGCGTTTGATTCTCTTGAAGGATGACGTCAATTCCTCACTGATTGAAACATTCTTATCATCTACGACAGAAATCAGTTTCCCTATCACCATTGGAGAAAATTTAAGACATATCAATAGCAGCATACTCTATCAAAACTATGCGAACTTACCGTGTAAAAAACACGAGTACTTTGTTAGACATTTCGCTAATATATTAAATAATCCATACGCTTATCCACCTGTCACCTCACTCTGGTGCTCTTAAAATAGGCGAGTGACAGCCTTGAGCATTAAACGAATGAATGAAACGCGGATGAATGCAATAAGCTTGAGAATGGAGTTGACTTTGAGGGAATGGGATGGCCTATACTGATTTCAATGTAAAGCTGTTGATATCGTAACATCGGGTAAAGATAAATAGAGAATAATACATGAGCGCACCAAAAAATGAAATTTTTTTCCGAGTGTTTTACTCGATAGCTTGCGAGTGAGCGCAGCGAACGAGTGGGATGACGAGTTCAACACGAGAAGAGAAATTTCATATCAACGAGCAACCATGTATTATTTTGTTTACCATATAGACACAATAGCCCTTTACTGACAAGCAAAGTCAACTTTATTAATGGATTAAAATGAGAGGATTGACAGTCCAGAATAAAAATCATGAAGTGCGTTGGCGCTTTGGCTCAAGATGAAAAAATGCGTCGAAACACTACAAAAACAAAAAAATGGGCGTAATTTTCAATACACAAAATTCTCAGTCATTGACTTGGTCCTTATCGACAGGAGAACCCTTTCAGGTACACAGTGGCAAATTTTCCAGTTGTCGATTTTCGTTCTCAGTCGCGAGAAATGCCATTACCAAAGCCACTGAATACATAACTTTCGGTTTTTCTTTCGGAACAATTCCGTATTTTCCCCCTTCTAGGAAAGTTTGAACGCCACTGTCTGTAAGCGATATGGATTTTTCAGTGTTTTAGCAGCCATAATCCGAAAGTTACCACAAACAACCTTGGATTGAGAATGATAAAGGCTTTGCCGTTCATTCATCAATCTGACCGAGTGGCGTGCAAGGCGAGTGACGTGTCAGCAGCTGATTCGTGATATCAAACACACGAGAAAAAATACGATATTCTTTCACGTGTGTTGTTACGGCTTTTCTCTGGGCTGGAAATCCTTGTATAACACCGTAGTTTATGTAATAAAATGGGTTATAATCCACCAATAATCCAATAATAGAAAGAGAAGAGTATCGCCGGTTTTCACTCAGTCTAGACGTAAAAAAGGTGCCACAAGTTTCTGTGTCGATTAAAATATCAAAAAATTACCTCTTTCCTGAAGGCACTTGTCATAACATATCTGAACACTGGACAACTGTAAGGAATAACGGAACTGATCATTAATCTTTTTAATAACTACTACACTTTAGTACTACCGATTCGCCTCAAACCTCTCGACGTGAATTCCTCTTGCACTTCTGTCGAATTAAAACTTGCCACTTAGTGATCTATGTACTAATTCTAATAAGTCTCCTCCAAGATGAAGGTTGTATTATTCTCAAACGAGTTTCATTTACATGGCATACAATTCTTCAAGGAGTTGAACAAAAGGAAACACCAAAAACTTTTATCAACGCCACAGATATAAAATCTTCCTTTTTCCACAATTTCTAGATCCATACTCCACACCCCGCCCACGCACTCCATAAATCCCATCTAGCTCGTGTGAGGTAATGAAAACATGTTTGAAAAAAAAAAAACCTAGCAACATCAAAAGCACTTCATTCACGGACAAAGACTCACTTAACTCCGCTGATAAACCGGACTTAGGGTATTTTAATCCTAACATTCTTTCTCTCACGTGAGTGAGCGATAATTTTAGAAACGAAGCCGTCCTATATCAAAATTCTTTGAGGTCCAGTGGACAGGAAGTTTTAAAAAGATGTTGTAGAAACTCTATAGTTTACGTGCAAAAGGCATAAAGCTGTCACAGAGGTCATCGGCATAGCCAAGGTGTTCGTAGGAAAGATTGATTTATCGACTGTGTTATATTCATCAGTCATCTTATCATTACATAAAGCAGCCTCATAGCCCAAAGGCCGAAAACTAACCTCAATAAACACATCGTAACTTAAAAAGAAAAGTCCTGTGGAGCTAGCCATCAAACCCAAATGTAATATTCTGGGTGAGTGTTAAAACTTGAATTGTAAAGTACTGTCGGCGATTTCTGAAAAAAATCGATATCTCCGGTTCTATTGGGCCTAACAAGTACCTTAAAACAGGAAAATTCTCTTTTGCTCAAGCTAGCGTTTAATGGAAATTTGATACTGATGCGCCGGATATCTTTGGATTATATTTGTCACCATCAAGGTCTTGTTTTCACGCGTGCCGATAACAATTTGTTCATCACGCAACTAATTGTGCGTGCAATAGACTCGAGTCGGCATCATGTTTTCGTGCCGCTTTGTGGCACTCTTAATAAAATAAAATTCATTTGAGAGGTGGAAACGCATGTAGGTGAGACTTTTTTCAATTCAACTACCAGTAGATTTTAAAATTGTCACATAACCCGCACCTCCCTATCACCCGCAGTGTCGCGCGTTTAATGCAAAATTAACAGATTACCCGCGGGTAAGCGGCCGGAAATTACGGTAATTGATACAGAACAATGTGTAGGTAACAACAGCACACATATGACCATGTTTTGAAATTTAATTTATTGGTTAAATTTGATTTTATGATTAACCGCGTGATTGACATATCAACGGCGTAATCACCAAGTAAGTTGATTTCAGTTTTAAAAATGAATAGACCCCGAAAACAAAGACCCCAAAACGAAGTCCCCGAAAACTAAGACCTGAAGATGAAGACCCCCTTATTTTCTTTACTGATATGGATAAAAGATGCCATCAAACGGATTTGTCAATTGCTCCCCCTCTCCCGCGAACTAAGTGCCTGTCGGAATTCGGAATTCCGTGAGACAAAAATCTCTTCAAAGCTTCCTCGGCCGATAAGCTTTTTCGCGTGGAGCTTATTGCATTCAAACTGCGGAAATTTCCCATACCGAAAAACATTGATAAACAATAAAAGGCTTTTTCAAATATCATAAATTCAATTTTTCTGTCCTTTAGATCTTTGTATTTCTCCACCAAAACAATCTAACATATGAGAAATTTACCCAAACCAGAAATCTACTCAATAGATGGTAGCTGAGCTCCTTGAAGACAGTCAGTAAAAAGAAGTTTACAACGGACGCGACGCAAGACAGCTAGATGAATTTTTCTTCTTAAAAGAATTTAATGTGATTCATACTCAACCTTCCCCATCACAAATTGAAAGTTCTGTCTATTAGGACATCACTGGACTAAAGCTCAATTCTGGCATAATTAACACGATTTATAATCATACAAATGCTCGATGCCGTCTAACTAAATTACGAACTTAAATGATAATCTAAGCGACAAGAATGAAATAACTGAACGATTATAATCGCACAAATGCACGACTGAGAACAAGTAAAACTGGCGAAAATTGAAATGGAGACTAAATATAACTACAAAGGAGAAAAAACAATCTTACTGTTTGTCCTTTTTACATGCCTGAATGAAATAAACGTACTGGAAAATTGAAACGTATTGCAACTCTGCAAAGACTTTATGACTCTCTTTCGCAATGCAAAACACTGGCAACGCACGATTATATGGATCCTTAGGTTTGACTAGGGGGCATTTGGGACTTTGCCAAACCTAACGGTCCTGTCACTGCAATGACTGTGATCACGAGCATATCGGACAGACCAAGCGTCAGTTTGGTACACGTTTGAAAGAGCATCAAAACGCGGTCTTTTTTTATCAAAAACAAGAAAAGTAAGCCTTGGCGGAGCACACATGCCTAACCAACCATACAATAAACGGACCTCCCTCCGCAGCATTTAGATCACCCCTGATGAAGGCACTAGACAGGAATGTCGAAACGTTGGGTCTATGAATTGTAACTTCTCAGTCATATTCATTAAATCTTTAAATCAGAGTAGCATCAAACCATGTCTGATTATGACACCTTCCTGATGTATTAACTTTTATTTGAAAATTCATTTTCTAAATTACTAGGGTGCTTTGAAAGATTTCAGAAATTTTACCATGGAAACGTTAGGTTTTATCATGGAAACGTTAGGTTAAATGTTTGAATTCAGTTCAGTCAAATAAAAGAAAAATCTATTTTTTCGGCCTCTAAACGTGGGAAGTAACCTTAAAAGCTGACTAAAGTCACGGCGGTGCTTCACTTTGGCCTCTAGGTACTTGAGTGAACAAGCCTTGATTGGTTTTAAATCACATTACTTTAACAAAGTATGTCTGCCATCGTTACGTTTGCTTGTCTCGCAACTGATCTCACTTGCAATGTGGCACAAGACAGCAATTTTACAATGATGATGTTACGCCACTCGATGCAATATATCAGTGCTCCATAAAGAAACAGCTACATTTAAGTCAAGATTTTTGCGCAACCACTCCTATCCCGGTGTCACAGCGGACCGGGGGGTCCAAATCCGCTAGGAAACCGGAAGACATCTCATCTTTATCAGATGTAACTTAAGCTCAACAGTAAATCAGTACAAACACGTCACGTCTTGAGACGGCTCTTTTGGTCTCGATACATTTCCTAGCGATTACGGTTTAATTTTTTTCCCGTTTTCTGTGTCATCTTTGTACCAAATACGAAAATCATAGCGCGATAACTGGAAATTTTAAAGTTACATTTATTATCATTGGGATACTTCTTTCTATGAACAACAATTTATTATTGATGAGCAATGTTCTGTTACAACTCATACGTAGGGGAAAATCCACATTCAGAAAGCAGGAAACGTAATTCTATCGCAACCGCAAAACTTCAAATCAAGACATCTGTGATAATTACAAAAGTAAATATTGACGGCGTTGCCAAAACATCAACCCTAATTTCATGCATACTCTCGCTCTCTGTCCATAGATCTTTTGAAATGTCCTCGGGTGACAGCGCTAGATCGAGCTAGTACATGTTTACAAGAAATCGGACCGGCACTGCAATAGGAATAGCGTGACAATAATAGAAATAAAGGACAAATTTTTTTCCACATCACCGCGTTTCAACATGAAACCCCGTGTAATAGTAAGGGAAAGGGCGACAGCTCTATAGTACGGTGGCCTCATGAATGAGGGAGATCACTCAGGAGATATTAAATCCACCTTTCCATTGGCTCGAAGTCAGTAAAAGCATTCTTGGTTTCAAAGATTAAGATGAGACAACAAATAATTTGCAATCATGATTACCGTAGACTCGATTGTTTACACATGAACATCTGCGTGGAGGTTATCCTTTTGAACAAATGGCTAGCGAACACTGTACAGGAAAAGGGTTAAGATTTTCAGTTTTAAGACTTTAGTGCCTCTCAATACTGGGCCCTATTTATCACGCTGACTCTATTTCAAGGATCTTGCCTTAACAGTGTCTCCTCAAAAATTCTGATGTGCTCATACGAGAAGGAGGGATAGGAAAGCTCAGGTGCGGGTTTCGGATTTTTCTCATAAGAACCCTACAACCGCGTTACCACGATAAAAATTCTAAAAATGCAACTTATTCATTTCCCTTGGTAAGCTACGATTTCTGCTATGAACAGGCCAAAATTTTCCCATCTGGAAGAGCTAAATTACCGCTCAAATCCGAAGAAACCCTGAACAGAATTAGACCGAAAAGATCTCCCAAGAAGAAGATGGTTGCAGAATTGAAATTGAATAAACATCACACGTTGTCGGACTTAATTATTGACTGGCTAAAGTTCTCCCATGCATATCGTCTACCATTCTAACGATCAATTTGTCTTAGAACTAAACTAATCATCACTGCGAATGCAAGAAATGCCTAGTCACCTCTCCACTTGATGTTCCCGTGTCATCCGTATGAAAGCTGGTGCCACATCTCTTCAAACAGAGCTCTGTCTGCCCAGTTAACTTCGTTTCATCAGGAAAGTGAGTTCCGGGGACGCTTCGACATTGCACACACACGAGTGTAACATTAATTAATTTAATTATTGACTGGCTAAAGTTCTCCCATGCATATCGTCTACCTTTCTAACGATCAATTTGTCTTAGAACTAAACTAATCATCACTGCGAATGCAAGAAATGCCTAGTCACCTCTCCACTTGATGTTCCCGTGTCATCCGTATGAAAGCTGGTGCCACATCTCTTCAAACAGAGCTCTGTCTGCCCAGTTAACTTCGTTTCATCAGGAAAGTGAGTTCCGGGGACGCTTCGACATTGCACACAAACGAGTGTAACATTGCCCCAAATGAACAGAATGACAACACTGTTGAAGAAAGATTCACACATTATTTTTTCCGCCGAGCTTCCTCCGTACTCAAGTGATATAAAAGTGCAACTCGTGCTTGAATGAAGTTCACAATCGCGGCGCGGCTCCCAGTAATGATCCTGTCAGTCATTCCGGGCACGTGATGTTTTGTTTCACATATGTTACGCATCGCAGCGGAGCATTTATTGGACCAACGTATATCATAAATTAACTTCATAACAACTGTGACACAACTTACTGACGACCCTGTAAGTGGCTTCTGTAATACAATAGGCATTCAGACGTAAAAGAATATAGACATGATATTGCCTACGGCACACGGGATGACGTTCTAACGCAGACGATTACGCAAACCTATTCAAGTTTGTCGCTTGGAATGAACTGGATGAATTAACTTTAAAATAGTTGTCACACAGCTTATTGACGACCCTGTAGGTGGCTTTTCTAATACAGTGTGCATTCATTCAGATGTAAGATAAGGTATACCTAATACTGCAAACGGCACACGGGAAGTCGTCAAAAACGTAGACTGAGAAGACTGATTTGCAAAACATTCCGGCCATTGATAAAATATTACGGCAAATTTCTTTCTGATCAAAGACCCTCATATATGGTTATCTGAATAAGAGAGATAGTTTCAATAGGAAAATAAAAGAAAAGTTATAATTAGATCAAATCAACACATCGTAATTCCTAGCTAAGAGTTTTCAGGAATCTTTGTAGCTCCGGTTCATGCATGTGTCTGTTTGCATAAGATTGTAGTAACAAAAACAGTGGATGGTTTTAGCGACTGGAGACAAGTGGGTAAAAAACAGCGATTATTACTCAACATAGGATAACGATCGTTTTGAAATTTAATATTCTCGTTAACTCCACTTCATATGCCAGTAAACACTGCTTTATTTTTAAGTGTTTCTATGTACTCTTCTCCGGAATTCCTAGGTTTTCTTTTACTAGGTTACTTTTCCTTCATCTGCTTAACCTTAAATAATGTTCCTGTCAGTAAATATGCAATAACAAATTTATTTTTAATCATCAAAATAACAATTCTAAGTCATTAATTTTTACATCTTAGTACAATTTTCTCGCATAGGTTGGATTATATTTGGTCGTTATTGTTATTATCCTCATGATCATAATAACGATTGTCATATATAATTTTCATTATTAAAAACATATCTAAGCGATGAAAATAACACACTTCGACAAGGGGAAAAATGATCTTTGGTATCGGCATTGGAACCGAAAACTGACTTCACCGACTGACTTAAACAACTGCGTTAAAATAAAACCTCATAAATGTAAAGCGTTGAAACCATAAGCGTGACGTTCATCACGCGATTTGCATCGTCGTGACGTTTAAAACCAGCGGAAGAGGACAACACGTAGTGAAATCATTGAGAAAGTGACCTCAACTTATGTCAACAAAGGAAATTGATATCATCTAATAAAGTATGGTAATGGTCTCTTAGTCTCATTAATTACATCAGCTTTTCTTATCTGTCAGTCATCAATGTGGCCTAAAATCGTGCAGAAAGATACACAATCGAGCGCAAAACAAGTGAAATGAAAGCCTTAACTGCTCTCCCGCAGGATTACTGACAAACGATCAAACAAAAGAAGAGAGGAAAGAGACTCTCGAGTAACCCGTTGACGTAAAAATATTAAAAGGTCAATTATGATAAGCCCGTCACGTTACGGCTGGCGTTTCGAGTAAAATGGCAAACCAAAAATAACTAAAACAAAAAAGAGCAAAGCAAACACACAAACAGACAATGGAGGCCGTGACGTCACGGCTCCAAGTTATTAAAATTTTCGCTGGTTGTGTTGCTCATTTCGCTCACTGTATCGTTTTGCAGTCATTCACGCCATATACTGAAGCCCACTGTGCACTTGGCAGCAAAATCATGTAACAAATTAAAGTATGTATCGCATAAGGAAAAAATATTGTACATCTGAATCAAAAGGCACTGCTTGGTGTGTAAATCCAGAGTGAATATTTACACACGTGGAGCTTTCTTCATTGCTTATTCTGGCAGCGTACTGCATATTTTACACATATGAACCTTTCGCGTAGCCCCAGCTCGCCGACTAGTTCAATGAGTGTCAATGATATAAAAAGCTGTGGCGGTGGGTCTCGGTGTGCTCATACAATTTATATTTCATATAATTAATATTCCCTACGTCTTTTTCATCAAAATCTTCCTCAGTCGACGATCAAGCTCAAAATTTACCAAAATTTTTTATCTTATTCGAGAGTATTTCTAGTTATTTCTACAGCAGATCTCACTACGAGTACTCACGTCCGCCATCCTGATCACGTCGTAGTAATTAATATATGGTCTAGCATCGGACCGGAAGAGCTGCGGTTTTTGTGTACATGTGTAAACAGGAACACTGATTGCATTGCGCTATTTTCGTGATAAATGAATGATTAGCAGTAAATCGTATTTTAAACATTATGTTTTCTATGTAACAAGCTATACAAGTTCACAATTCGAGACAATAAATGCCAGTAAAGCGTGTCTGCTTCAAACATCCGGTTGCAGTACTATTAGTCCGTGTGTGATTTCAAAATAATCGTGACTATCGATGATGTAATTTGAGTATTTTGTGGGGTTTTGGGCACATACTCGAAAGGATTGAAACGATGATGGAGGTTTCCTTTTTCTCTCCAAGAGCTAAAAATAAAAGCCTTTAAATTAAATTGAAAAGTTAATTATATAAAACAAACGACAGCTATGTTAAGCATTCCACAAATTCACTTAACACTACTTTAATATCAATCTGTAAGAACATAATGTTACCAAGCTTTTAACAGCTTAGCTAGCAATAAATGTCAGTAACACTTATTAGGCACAACGTAAGAGACGAACCCAACAGAAACATCTCTCTTCGACATAAGAAGAAAGAAATGCAGTGAATGCTGTTTATCTGAAACAGAATAAACCGAAGTAGCTGCTAGATGCGAATTAAGCCTAAGACTTCAATTTCCTTTCGTTTAAGCTATGTAAAATAAAAAAAAGATTAATTTTGCACAATAATGCAAATTGACGTTTTGCACAAAGCAAGTTGACGCGCAGAGCACGCTATGAAACAAATATTTGCGCTTATTCTTTTTAGTGTAAAGAAATGTGTAAGCTAAAAGGGAAAATCTTCTACTTGTGAAACTATTACCCACCTTTATTTCCTTATTTCATCCTTAAAACAACTAAGGGAGTAATGGGGGTATTTTTACTTTTCCTATTCAAACCGGCTTACATTCGAGTTAGAATCGGATGGAAACATACCCGGAAAATTGATGAAACGTTTTTCTTTTCTAAATTTATCTTAATAATACTAAGTTAGACTCACGTTCATCAAGTATATAAGAAGACGATGAGCAATCGTCTTCAGTCAATATTCACCTCCTCACTAGCAACCAACAAGAAGAGCATCAAGTACTAACTAAAGGACGACGATAAAAATCAGAATGAATTTTGGAATTTCACAGGTAATTTCACTGAACTTATTTATAGATTCTCTTTACCTTATAATGGTTTTAACATCATTTCGTTAAAAAATAAAAAAGTGAAAAAATTTCCGCTTTTTAAGAATCTTTAAGATACATTTTTATTGTATGCTTTGGTAAATTAGCGAGTTCTTCTCATGCATATACATATTTCATTGACACTTTTTCAAAGAAAAGCTCCGTAATAGTAGGACAAAAATTTATAATGACGCATTCGTATCTCTTCGCAGGGCCGTGAACGTATCGTTTCCATCATTTTTATGCACTTTGCCATGTTCATAATGCTACAATCTGGCGGGGAAACAGAGGCACGACCTACAAACCCTTCGCAACCTTCCATCCTTCAAAAAAATGATACGGTCGATATTGACTGGCTTCTGATAGAACAAGAAGGCTCTCAATCTGATGGCCTAGACACCCGCAAAGACGTAGATTGGTTGGAACAAAATGAAACTCACAAGCCTGACTTAGAAGAACTTTCAACTCGAGGTAAAAACTCAGTCGGAAAGGTTGAAATTAAAGAAAATTCGTTTGGACATTCCAGACATGCTCGAAATCCAGGAAATAATTGTATTAAAAACCGAGACAAAGCAATTGTCATTTGCAGCAAGTTTTTCAAAATTCCAGTCTGTAAGCAGGGATGCCAAAAGGTATATAAATTGTTTACTTTTTCGAATTGTAAGATAAAGACAAAGGTAATTCATACGGATTGTGTTCGGAATAAGTGAATAGAGACGTAATTTATATCATATTTATTAAGACTTCAAATGGAATGAAAAAGAGAGAAATATATTCAACGGCTGGATCGAATTTTTACTGCATTATAAATATTTTTTTACAGAGCTACAAAATTGATCACATTTGTAACATTGGCAACGTATTAATGTCAGAAAAGACAATGTTCTTGTGCTGTCTCAGCCTAAGCTAACCTGATCTGAACAATTTTTGTAAATGGACGAAATAAATTATTTCTGTATTATTTCAATACGCTTGTTTTAAATTGAACATCTGTAATTTACTAGAAGAGTGTAGTTGCCTATTTTCAGAACCTTACGTTGGGCTGACCCTAGGCGTATAAGTCTTGTGAACGTTTACTTGAGTATTCAGAGTTGCTGGGTTTTATAATTCATTTATTACCAAAAGTTATTCGTCGTCCACAGTCTGTTTCTGAGCTGTTTTTGGGTAGGAGAAGGATGCTCAAGCAAGAACACATAATTTAGTTCTTCGCCGTTAAGAGATATATAAATGAAATTATGACAATGACTGCCATTTGAGTTCCTACTGAGTAACCTACTCTAACAAAATTGTCTCGAAATGCACTGAAAATTTTACAACAAAAGCGGTCATTTTAAACCTTGCTCAGCAACCTGGCCGACTTTCTGTGCTGTAGAAAAGTCTTACTCCTTCCCTTTCCATCTCCTGGAGATCTGTTTAAACATAAATGCTGGATAATTGGGAAGAGCAGAAGCTGTTTGTGCTAAGCGCGATTGAGTTCTCAGCAAGGGCCGAAAAAAGGAAATTTAGCACAATTCTTTTCGTCTACAATTTGATAATTGGAATCTCTGATGATAAAACTCGGAAATTATCTGCAAAGGGTTTTTGAACGAAGAAG